AGGTACTCTTACCATAAAGGTACACAAAACATCAAAAACAACAATACTTATAAAGAAAATCCAGATGCACAATAAAAATTTATTAAAGAGTGGACTTTGCACTTTAAGACCTCCGCTCAAGAGTGTTGTAACATGAAATATAAACTAATATGTAATATAAATATACACATGTTCAGACGAACAAAAGTGCAGCCCATCTAAAATATAGTTCTAGAGAGTGGTGTGAGCAAAAATTACTTGGACCCTTCCACCTTTTGGATGTGTAGTAGTCAAAGGGGGACTCATAGAGAGCGTAAAGGATGCTTGGCTTCAACTCTGTCTTTCCATATACATTAGATATGGAGTATAAATATACACAAAGAATCGCTCAGATAAATGATTTAGTGTGCATTATAGGCACCATAATTATGGTTGAGGCAATCTGTTGCAATGTAATATAGGACAAACAGACCCCCTGGCTAAATATCAGGGTGGTTTAGCTGGATAATAAAAATCTATTATAGATAAATAACCCCCAAGTGCTTACAGGGGTTTATAATAGTCATTCAGAAAATTACCAGGAAAGCATCTTTTCAAGATTTGTTTTCAACAAAAACAGGAACTTAGAACAATAATACTAACACGGGTATAAAAGTAGGAGGGTGGGTCCACTGAGCAGAACCAACAGGGAGCCACAGCAGCACATCAGACCTTCTGCAAAGCCTGTCAGTAGTAGCACAAACTCACAACAACATAGTCCCATTTGCTATGGCATCTACTTTAGGAAGACATCAGTACAGGAGACAACAGATCCCTTTTCAATAAACCAGGGCATATGGGCTGCCAGATGTTAACAGTATATACAGGGGCATCTGAGCAAACAAAGCAGCACCTTGCATGGAGAAATTAGGATGTGCAATTACAGTCTGTCCCAACATGGGATACAAAGCATAAACCTTGCTGGAAAACTTTATTTCTATCAGTGACTCAGTGGGGAGGATTCCCTCATTCACCTTGAAAGTGTGGATAGGGGAATTGGTTCAGTTATTTAATTCAGCCCGCTAGCTGGTCGGAAAAAACTGAGCCATGTATGGCCAGTTTTAGTATAGTACTTTGTACTAAATCAGCAAAGAGCTGGTAATTATTTTCCTGGAGCATTTTTAGTGAGAGCCCCCAGTACGTATTCATGGGTGGGGAAATAATGCACTTAACCATTGCCAAGTGGGAACATTTGATATTTTCCTTAACAGTGCCCTGTGTATTCTACCCATCTCTAATGTCTCTGGAATGAAAGCAAGGGTGAGCTCCTTAAACAGTGCCGTGACCAAGCTGACAAGGTCTGGGATGGATCTGGGGAAGTTATGAATATGCAGACTGCTCCGGCATTGAGAGATTCTCCAAATATTTCTTGTTTAAATTTTAAGAGGGCAATTTCTTACAGAAGGTCCTCTATTTCTTTTTAGTGGCCTTCAAAACAAGAGTGTTTGGTTTGCCTAGAGTGGAGAGGGATTAGAAAACCTGTTGCTCTCGAACACCATTATCATCAAGAGCAAAAAGTGAAAAAAAAAAAAAATTTAACTGTCACCAGAAAACAGAGGGGAAACCTTCCAATAGGGACCCTTGCTCTGGTGACCCTGATGACAACCAGGGGTTTTCTCACTTTAATGGATTTCTTCTCATTCCCTGATTTGGCTTTGGGACATGAAGTAAAGGGAAATCTCCCACTGGGACAGAGATAGAAAAAATAAACTTTACAGGGGTTATAAACCTTCCATACTCTATCCAAAATGCACAAAAAAAAAGTTCTGCCTTTAGATCTGCTTTAGTTTTTCAAACCTTCTGCAGATAGTCTACAAGAAGCTTGAGTGATATCTTCTTGGACTATTTTCCTTAGCTGACCTAGCAAGGAAATATCCAATGACTCAACACTCCTGAGGCCTGTAAGAAATTAATTTAGGCTTTCCAGCAAAATGGGTTAGACTCCCCAGAGGAAGGGTACTCCCCTATCGGTGGGTCCCCTGTTAAGTAGGGCTCTGGCAACTGAGGTAATAGAGGTACGATAAGTCACAAGCTTAGGCTTTGGCTTGACTGTGGGACCAATCTTCCGCCAATGCAGCTAATCTCCCCCTGACACAATCACAACAGTGTGGCAACAGTTCATTGAGTGCTGTCTCTTTTATTTAAGGCCATATTCCCAGGCAGAGCGGAGAATACTCTGCAGCCATCTTGTGACCCCCAAATTGATTACTTTCAGTGACTGTATTAAGCTCTTGGCTTTATTTATTAGGTTAGGATTACTCTGACAGGCTGACAAGGTAAACATTCACCAACATTGATAGGAAAAACAGACATTTTTGGCACTTATGGTTAAAAAATATTAGAACCTTACCAGTTTTCCTCAAAGGAAAGTCATTTTTGCAATCATGTGCTCCAGGGAGAGGACATCTATATGATGGAGAGGTCCCACTTAATGGAGGAGAGCTTTGATCCAATGAAGTATGATGTGCTGCCCTACAATAGAAATATAGATATACATTCACACACCAGTCATTAGCAGAGTGGTAGGTGAAAGGAACTGTATCACAAAACAATTATTGGCATGAATATCTGTCTATCAGCCTCTGCTCTGTTAGTCTGTAAGTATGTGTGATGGATATTATCTATAGTCTATACTTCATCCAGAGTTGAGGCACTCTAATACAGGAGGTGTGTTACTGGCCAGATCCCCAGGTGAAAACAGAGCCACCACATCTAATGATTGGTAATCTGCATTATATAAATTGTATATTATATATACATTTTGGTTTTGGGTTTAACACTGCTTTGAGCTCATATTAAAATGCACCTGAATATGTCAATCACCTTCTCAGCCTACATGTTCAGGGACAATAATTAACCCTTTCAATATCGTGCAATTTTACACCTTCCTGCCCAGGCCATTTTTCAGGTTTCAGCACTCTCACACTTTGAATGACAATTGCGCGGTCATACAACACTGTACCCAAACTAAAATTTTATCATTTTCTTCACACAACTAGAGCTTTCTTTTGGTGGTATTTAATCACCACTGGGGTTTTTATTTTTTGCTAAATTAACAAAAAAAAAGACCAAAAATTTTGAAAAAAAAAACACATTTTTCTTTGTTTCTGTTATAAAAGTTTACAAATAAATAATTGTTCTTCATAAATTTAGGCCGAGATGTATTCTGCTACATGTCTTTGGTGAAAATAACCCAAATTAGGATGTATTTTTTAGTTTTTAGGAAAGTTATAGAGTTCACAAAACTATGGTATAGATTTGAAAATTGATCAATCCTGAAGTACTGACGGCCAATCTAATTTCTTGAGGTCCAAGAATGTCAGAATAGTACAGATATCCCCAAATGACCCCTTTTTGCAGAGTAGACAGTCCGACGTACTTCATAAGAGGCATGGCGAGTTTTTTGAAGTTGTATTTTTTTTGTCATAATTTTTCGGAAAATGAAAAAAATTATTTTCACTATTTTGTTTTTTTACATACTGTCACCAGTGCAGTACAGCGTCATCATATAACTGGCATGGCGGTGAACAGGGACACTGACTGGTGACAGTATGAAAAAAAAAATATATTTTTTTTATAATTTTTTTTATTTTTTTTATTATATTTAATTTTTTATTACATTTTTTTTTTTTTTTTTTTTTTTAAGATTTTTTTTCATATTTTACTATGACCAAAATAGTACAATGTTACCATAGTAACATTGTACTACTTTGGGGAAGTGATCAGTATTTTTTTTTTTATTTTTTTTTTTTTACACAATTTGCTTATAGCAAAGAATTACTTTGCTATAAGCAAGCATTTACCTGAATGAAATCGATTCATTCAGCTTTTTTTTTTTTTTTTTTTTTTGTGCTTAGCTGTGATTTGGTCACAGCTAATCACATGACATGTGCATGTGATTAGCTGTGACCATTCACAGCTAGGCACTAGTATACAATGGATGGCATCATGAATGAAGCCATCCATTGTATACAACTGTCATGTGACCTGCTGTGATTGGTCACAGCAGGACACATGGTACCAGCAAGGGGAGCCTGTACTCGGATCTGTCATCGGCTGTGTCCGAGGTGCACGGCCGATGACAGATCGCACTGCTGCGCCGCTCTGCACTAGCGCAAAATGGCCCATGTGCGGGAGCACGCCAAATGGCGTGCACCCGGAATGCAGATACATATCTGAAGCCGCCAAACGGCCATTGGCTGGGCGGCTAATGGTTGAAGCTATTGAAACTACAGGGTCAAAAAGACAGCCAGGTAACTAGCATTTATAGAAAGAGAAGACGACAGCAACCATATTTCTCTCAACAAAGAGGTCCTTTATTTGTCATATACATATACAGATATATATAAAAAATCTGCACATTTTTAAGAACACAGTTGTACTTTACAAATGTGCATTGTGCTTACTTCAAAGCGAGCGGTACACAATCAACATGATTTAAAAAAATCCAGGATGAGGAGACCATGTCTGAGAGAAGTCAAACTGTCAAAGTAACATATATTTATTTATTACAGGTACTTACTGTATATAGCGCCGTCAATTTACGCAGCGCTTTACATATATATTGGACATTCACATCAGTCCCTAACCCTCAAGGGGCGCACAATCTAAGGTACCAGCTTCTTCTCCAATCACTGATATTCAACAGACAAAACTCAATGACATACATCAGGCTCTACACTGTAGCCTGCATGTCATCACTGAGATTTAAAATCCAGCGTGGAGTAATTTTGTGAAGTCCAATGGAGTGCCATTGCTCTCTGTTTAAAGTGGAATTCCAGCTTACACCTAACTAACCTTAAAGTGGTCCCCTCCCCCTCCTAACACCTATGCTAACTAACCTGTGTAATAAAGATGTACTGTATATACTGTACTTACCTACACTATATTGCAAAAAGTATTGGGACACCCTTTCAAACCATTGGATTCAGGTATTCCAATCACCTACATGAGCACAGGTGTATAAAATCAAGCACTTAAGTATGCAGACTGCTTCTACAAACATTTGTGAAAGAATGGGTCTCTCTCAGGAGCTCAGTGAATTCAAGCGTGGTACCGTGATAGGTTGCCACCTGTGCAATAAGTCCATCCGTGATATTTCCTTGCTACTAAATATTCCACGGTCAACTGTTAGTGGTATTATAACAAAGTGGAAGCAACTGGAAACAACAGCAGCTCAGCCAGCAAGTGGTAGGCTACATAAAATGACAAGTGGGGTCAATGCATGCTGAAGCGCACAGTGCGGAAAAGTTAATAAATGTCTGCAGAGTCAATAGATAAAGACCCCAAACATTGTTTGGCCTTCGGATTAGCACAACAACAGTGCATAGAGAGCTTCATGGAATAAGTTTCCATGGCCAAGCAGCTGCATCCAAGCCTTACATCACCAAGTGCAATGCAAAGCATTGAATGCAGTGGTGTAAAGCATGCCACCACTGGACTCTTGAGCAGTAGAGTGACGAATCATGCTTCTCTGTCTGGCAATCCGATGGACATGTCTGGGTTTGTCCATTGCCAGGAGAACGGTACTTGCCTGACTGCATTGTACCAAGTGTAAAGTTTGATGGAGGGGGGATTAAAGTGTGGGGTTGTTTTTCAGGGGTGAGTCTTGGCCCCTTAGTTCCAGTGAAGGAAACTCTTAAGGCATCAGCATACCAATACATTTTGGACAATTTCATGCTCCCAACTTTGTGGGAACAGTTTGAGGATGGCCCTTTCCTGTTCCAACATGACTGTGCACCAAGCAAGGTCCATAAAGACATGGATGAGCAAGATTGGGGTGGAGGAACTTGACTGGCCTGCACAGAGTCCTGACCTCAACCCAAGAGAACACCATTGGGATGAATTAGAGCAGAGACTGCGAGCCAGGCATCCTTGTCCGACATCAGTGGCTGACCTCACAAATGCACTTCTGGAAGAATGGTCAAACATTCCAATAGACACACTCCTAAACCTTGTGAACAGCCTTCCCAGAAGAGTTGAAGCTGTTATAGCTGCAAAGGGTGGCCCAACTCAATAATGAACCCCATGGACTAAGACTGGGATGTCATTAAAGTTCATGTGCGTGTAAAGGCGGGCGTCCCAATACTTTTGGCAATATAATGTATTTTCAGGCCACTCCAATCTGACTAACCTGTGCCAGCACAGCTGCAGGGGAGACGAGGGAGTGCAGACAACGGATGGGTCAATGAAGCCTATGGGTGACGTCAGAGCTCCAGGATTTATTAGCAGTTGTCAAAGTGCTCTCTCTTGCAGCCACCAGTGGCTTACACACAGGATCACATGACCGAACTAGAGCAGTATATACTTCTTTCTTTCACAGGTTAGTTAATATGTGTGTTAAAAGGGGAGGGGGGAGTTTAATGCTAGTTAAGCAACCTGTAGATGAGTCTTTTTTTTTTTTGTTTAACCAGTGGGTTGAACAATAAAAAAGACTCAATTCCCCCATTCACACACTTGATTTGAATGGGGAATCCTCCCCTCTGAAGTGTTATATTCTGACAGCAAGGAGACTTTCCACCATCAGTATACACTGATCCACCCTTCCGTCTATAGCCTGCGGCACTGATTGAGCCGGGCAGGGGAAATCTAACAGGCTGTTTGTACAGAAGTCCATTGGTAGATTACAACACAGCCTTCCCGTACATGGATAAAAATTCATCCGGTCCCTGCTGAACAAGACAAATTGTAAAGCATGTATGGCCAGCTTTAGTTGTAATCTGGAATTCCACTCTATCAGTGGGATCAATGGGTGTTTCCTGAGACATACACTGAACAGGGAACATCCAAAATGGGAGCCAATTACAGCAAAACAATGGCAACTATTTCTTTTCAATATTCCATCAGTATAAACATGTTATTCATGACCAATAATTTGCCTCAGAGTTAGAAAATGAGCCAGAAAATGGATTTTCAGCATTTATTACACATAGCTGAAATAGTGAAGTATAAATGAACATTAATTCAGAAGACATTTATAAGCCTTTAGTGGTTCATAAATCACAAATAACCCATCTTAATGCTTTCACTTATTTCTCATTTCATTCCCCCTAGTTTTCTCCTAAAGCCTAACCCAGCCAGAATTTTTTTTTTAGTTGTTTTTTTTTTTATAGTTTTGGATAATATGAGGAAGAGTTAAAATGTCTGCTAGGCTTTAAGTTCTGTTGTAATTGGGGCGATCCATTGTGCTGTGGCACAAAGACAAAAAATGGAGGTAGTTTTAGACAGGGTACAGGTAGATGCAAGCAGCAATAAACACATTGGGATTTAATTACTAAAGCTAGGGAGTGCAAAATTAGGCTCGCGTTTACATAAAAACCAATCAGCTTCAAGGTTGTATTGCCAAAGCTTAATTGATCAAGCTAAGGTTAGAAGCTGATTGGTTTCTATGCAGAAGTGAACCTGATTTTGTACTCTCCAGCTTTAGTAAATAAACCCCATTGTCAGAAGTTCCAATTCTTCCCCACTCTACTGCAAATAATTTTTTGTCTGTGTCTCCATTAGAGGAATTTTCCACCACTTGACAGAAAGTGAGGTTAAATCTCCGAAATAAGGACACTGACTGCAATAAAAAGAACAAGCGGAGGCTCTAACCCACCCCCCTTAATCCAAAATTACTAGCCGGTGTTGAGCTTCAAATGGATGGTGTCATAACGGATAACATGTGCAGCACCTTAGCATCTATAAATCAAACAGAGGCAAAGATGGCAGCTTCCTTAGCTGTAAAGGATAGGAGGGATTCCACTTTAAGTCTCCACTTAAAGGGCATGTGACAGGACATGAATCTGGGAGGCAGGGACAGAGCAGTTTCACCCCATAACAGGAAGTACCAGGACAAGGGCCGTCAGAGGATTACCATGTATATCCTTTATTAAAAGCTGTAGATTCAAAAAGACTGAAAATTATAGCAATATATATATATATATATATATATATATATATAGATATAAAGATTTAATGATATCTTAGTGATTGCTATTAGATCGACTTTAATTATAAAAATCCTAACACTGCTGAAGTATCCTCACTCTAAGGTATTAAGTTGGTCAGTTTTCTCCCTTAGGGCTTGTTCTCATGTGCACAACGCTTTTCATAAGATGTTTGACAGGCAGTGAGGAAATGATATGTTACCTCCTCACTGCCGAGCCACTGTGCCACAACCATGTGCATTTCATACTGCTGCACAGCTATTATGGCTCAACTCCCTGCTTTTACTACCCCCCCCCCCCCCCACCCCCGGCCTTCTATGTGAACAAGTTCTAACACATGTAGGACCCTCCTAGATAGGTGCTAAGTTAGGTAAATTTAATTCTGGATCACTGTAATCAGTGCATCTGCATGTGATAAGTTAGGTCTTTTCTGTGTTTCACTGGCTGCAGAGTTGATTGCTTCCCCCGTCTGTCTGGGAGAGTTCGGGAAGGGAGCTGGATGAAGAAGTCAAATTGGCATCTGAATATTTACGTAGCACTGGCCAATTCCTGGGGAGAGTTTGCCCAGATGGTGGCTGGGAGTATGTATAAAAACTCTAAGACCTGGAACAGAGGTGCCTTGTTCCTGAGGAGGAGATTAAAGCCCTGGGGGAACTGCCTGCCCCCTGGGCAAGCCTGCCATGTGCTTGGGGTTCATCGAGGCCTCAGCTGGGCTAGCTGGAGGGCCTAGTTTGCAGACTGGAGCTGACTGAGGGGTTTTTCATATGAGCATCTAGTCTGGTATCGCTGGAAGAAAGTGCCTGGAAGATATTTGGAGGAGGCAACAAACTATCTAAGGACATTAGTGAGTACAGACTGGTGTGAGAGATCATAGAGACTTTGTGCTGCTTAACCCCCCTCTGGTGCTATAGAGTCAGATGTGTGCAAAGGGGCCATTGTGTCCGGTGTCCTAAAGAGCTTAGTCTATTTAATTCCTAGAGAAACAACTCTGCTCAGATCTCTAAGACGAGTATTTATATCCTCAAGTTGCTACTACAAAGCTCAGTCTATCATCTATTTGTACAAGGACTTAGCTCACAGTTCTGAAGAAGAATTTTAGTGTCCTCATATTGCTACAAAAGGTTATTGGAGTATCCCACAGTTACTCTATTCCTATCCAAGTCCAAACTCTACAATAAAGACTCAGAAAAGCATACCCCTAGACTGTTCATTGAGCCAAAGGAGTGACTGTGACTGTGTGCCTGGCTGCTGGGCAATTGCATGGAAAGACCTAAGCCTACGGGGGAACCGCTACACACAAAAAAACTGAGTTCTTTGCAGCAATATAAGACAAAAACCTGATGACATACGTGTACCAAAGCTTGGGGTGGCGGCCTATGGAATGACTGTTTCCGTTTGTATAGGATTCTTTTGTGGCAGATTTACTCAGAAGGAATTCCTGTAGTTTAAGCTTGACTTCGGTGCTGGCCACGGCTCCTGAAAGGCAATTGAGCAAAGAAAACACGTTAAAGCATTAAACTGAAAGGAACAAAACAGTTCTCTGGACAGAAGTAGAACACTTTATTTAATTCTCACACCAGCCATCTAACACTATAAATAAATATTAATGGGACGGTGTGTCCCTTAGGCACAGAGAGGGTTAAACTTGATTTAGGAAGTGTGAGTCCATTTTGCTTGTTCCTAGGTAACAGGTCCGCACAGCACACACTCAGCCAGAGGGAAAGGCCTATAAAAGTGACAATTTATTTCTGCTTCCCACACTATTTGTTTACTCATAGGGTACATGTGAAATTACTTACTGCCAGCATTTCAAATTAATATTGTGACTCTGAAAGCACACAAGGCATTGTGCGAGCTGTTGGAAAAGGATTAAATGCTCTCCCCTAAGGTCAATTAAATCTCTGTTCATGCTTATTGATTGCTAAATGAAAAACCTGCTGCACCTACGTGGTGGAGTGGGAGCAGACGGCAAACATAAAATGAGCAAATGTATTCGAAATTGTTTCAGTCTCTCATACAAAGTCAATATTAATTCACAAAGCACAAAGTCAAAGGTAATGAAAAGAACAGGAAGGATTTGGCTAATTGTCGAACTCTCACCCAATAGTAGTGGGTCACACCTCAGGTTGGAGTGGGATGTGGGTGCGTAGGTCAAAGGGCATGTAAGGGTCTATATAGATAGTTGCATGGTAAGATGGGAATTATCACACTTGAGTTAGTTTCTTAATTTTTCCTTGTCTCCCTATTGCTTTTACATGTATCCTTCATTTACATTGAGACTTGTGGTCTGTAAGTGTACCTTGTGTTTATGTGACTTGAGCCTCCAGGTGCTGCATGCAGGCGGCTCAGTCATGTCCTAATTTGACAGCTGTACAGTTACGTGTGAGTGACCCTGAACGCACAATGTCTGCATTGAGGGCTGCTCACCTACACCTGCATGCCTGTCGAATGGAAATGTCCATTTGTGTCCATGCAGCCACTATGTCCCCATAGACTTAAATGCGCTGCCTGTATGGAGGACCTGGTGGCTCAAGCCACATAAATACACAGTTCCTCAGTTCACAAACTAGGGGCCTTAGGCCTTGTTCACATAGGGTATGTTATATCGTACGCTTATGCATGGCCGTATTTACTTGCATGGGGATTCACATGTGTTCCAAGCATCCCTGTCCAGGCAGTCCTATTGATGTCTATTAGGAAGCAGTGGCTGCATGCACACAGCTGCTTTGTCCTAATATGACATCTGTGCAGGTAGGTGTCCCCAAATGCTGTATGAGTGAGCATGTTTGTTCTTGGAATTATAGCATTGTTATTCTACAAATATTACCCCACACATTCACTAAGTAATTGTCCTACAGTCTGTTTCATGAAACGGTTTCTTACTGTGTTGTTCAGCCCCCTTGTAACATCCTCCGTACGTTCCTGAACCTCTCTTTTTCCCCCTGTTTGCTTGAAATTAGCATTGTATGCTAATGGTGATCATGCTCTATGCACACTACAAATCTCATAGTCCCTGGTCAGGGGCGGACTGACCATTTGGAAACTCAGGCACTGCCGGAGGGCCTGGGGTCAGTAGGGGGCCCCATGAGATGCCCCTGGTACCTTTTTCATAGGCTTTTTTGAGTTTGGGCAAGGACACAGGGGCCCCATGATCCCTTGGGGCCAGTAGGGGGCCCCATGAGATGCCCCTGGTACCTTTTTCATAGGCTTTTTTTGATTTTGGGCAAGGACACAGGGGCCCCATGATCTCCTGGGGCCAGTAGGGGGCCCCATGAGATGCCCCTGGTACCTTTTTCATTGGCTTTTTTGAGTATGGGCAAGGACACAGGGGCCCCATGATCCCCTATTGCCTGGGGGCCCCATGAGTTGTCAGTCCGCCCCTGTCACTGGTCCAGCTCGGGAGTGAGAGTGAGAGTAGTAGCTTAATTCCTACACACAGTGGAATGAGTGGCAAGGAGAATGAACGTAGCCACCCTCTAGAATTTAGTGTGACTTTAAATAAACTTTAAAGTGTTACTAAACCCACAACAGTAAAATCAGTCTTGAGCATGTGCAATGGGGAGCAGCTGTGATGCCACAAGGAGTTAACATTCCACTGCTGGGGACCCGAAGACCAGCAAAGAACTGGCCCTGGTGAGGACAGTGCTGGATCTCTGAACAGGTGAGTGTCTGTTTACTAAAAGTCAGCAGCTACGGTTTTTTTAGCTGCTGAATTTTAATTTTTGGAAACCTGGCTGAAGAACCACTTTAAAGTGTTACTAAACCCACAACAGTAAAATCAGTCTGTATATGCAGTAAAGCATGCTTGCTATACTCACTGTGGAACTTAAGGGATTAATCTTCTGCATTGTGTAAAAAGAATGTTTAATCCTGTCTTCTCTGATTCTACCCTTCTTCCACTCTCCCTGACTTCTCTCCTGATAGAACAGAGCCTTGGGGGCAAGTTGCACATGCTCAGTTTTGTGTGTATTGCTAAATATTTTTTTTCATTCTTGGGAGAATGCATGCGATCAGCACAGGGCCAATCAGCACTGTCCACACAGAGGGTCAGGGGTCCTGCAACCTCATAGGACAATCAAGAGAGAATGAAAACATCTCCTACAAGCTTTAACCAGTGCTCTGCTGGACACTGATAGCAGTCACAAGACAGCTATATACTGCTAATGAGAAAAGGTATTTAGCAGTTTATATTTACTAAAATAATTGCATTTCCATGTTCTGTGTACTGTGGGAAACCAGATACATTGAACGCAGGGTCCTGAGTTTAGCAACACTTTAAGGGTGCCAACAATGTAACCAAACATGCAGTTTGGTCAGTCCTGAAAATCAGTAACCTTTCCAGGGACAAATGTTTAATTCCTAAAACTTACTCCTAAAAGCATCAATTTTTGGACAGCTCCAAGCTGTACAGTTAGGAGAAATGGACAGTTTGAGAAGATACGATTCAATTCACAGAAACAATACAATAAAACAAGCCAGAGATGTTTACCTATAAAGTAAAGTGAATGTATTTGTCTCCCTCTAGTGTGCACACAGAGATCTCAACAACTATCCACAGAACAGGTTCAGATCCTTTTATGGTTCCAGTGACACTTCCTGCAGATATTTCTTAACTATCTAAAAATGTTCAAGGTTGGTAAGAAGACACAAGAGATAATTGTTGTGCCTGTAGAAGTCAGAGCATCCTATCTACTAAAAATACACCCAGAAATATAATCTGCATTAGGAAGAAACATTGGAACAAGGGTCTACGGAAAAGTCCCATGGCACGAAAATGATCTGATGTTTGTAACTGTGCTCAAAAGATGTGTAAAAATAATCTTCATCAACATTATTAGCATTAGTAGTGGGCTTAGGGGTGATCAGATTTTGTAAAATCCAGTCTGCTGGCAATGTCCTGAAAGCGGATACAAAGGGTTAAATATTTGCATTGCCAGTTTATTTAAGGCTCTTGCAAATGGATAAAATAATTGAATATTATTACAGGTACTTATATAGCGCTGTCAATTTATGCAGTGCTTTATATATATATTACACATTCACATCTGTCCCTAACCCTCAACGGGTGTACAATCTAAGGTGCATCACTTATATTCATACTAGGGCCAATTTAGACAGGATCCAATTAACCTACCAGCATCTCTTTGGAGTGTGGGAGGAAACCGGAATACCCAGAGGAAACCCACGCAGGCACAGGGAGAACATGCAAACTCCAGGCAGGTGGCGCTGTGGCTGGCATTTGAACTAATAACCCTAGTAATGCCAGGCAGAAGTGCTAACCATTCAGCCACTGTGCTGCCCAATTTATATACAGGATCTTGCTGGCAGAAAGGTCCACACAACCTTATGTATACGAGTGTACAGGCACTTAAGCGTGCATATGTGTATACATGTGTACATTTCTTCTTCATCCTCTTCTAGCTGCCAGTGTTGCAATTTACATATATATGCTTACAGTATATATATATATATATATATATATATATATATATATATTTTGCTTACACACGTGTTTGCATATACATTACTGCACTCAAACATAAAATGTTCTCTTTTTTTTTCATTTCAATTTTTTTTTAATGGTCTGAACACATCGCTGCATTACAGATCTTTATGTAGCTGTGTGCATTGTCTCATAGACAACAATGCACCTATGTTCAGATCCGTAAATTAAAAAAAAAAAAAAAGCTAAACAGCTACAAATTTGGCATTTTTTTCACCCATGTGCAAAAGCCCTTACCCATTCTTTTATATTTTTTTTTGTAATAAAAAAAAATACTAGGAAGTAAAAGTGGATCTAAAGCCATGCAGTCAAGTCTTTATTAAAGAAACTGATATAGTTTCTATGTTATAAGGTTTCCGCAACGCAGTGGCAGAGACGAGAAAAGGCACAGTGGTACAGTTACTAATTCTATTAATTAATACTGCCAGGAGGAAATACCTTTTGTGCTGTGACTTCCCTATTGAAATTACTAATAGTGATGTACTTTTGTCCTCATGTAATGATGTTTTTTCACCCAATGAGGCAGTGCAAATTGGGCAAGGTATGTGATATGTCAGGGTTTGGTTGCTGTATGTTCTCAGGAGACATAAGCCTTGATTTTCCGATTTTTGGCTGTCATTTCCCTAAAACTTGGTGGGGCCTGGAAGCAGTAAAGATTGTGCATTCAGGCTCACCTCTGAAAAACGCAGTTATGATATCACTAGATTAAGAAAAAGTACACAAATATTTGGAAAGGTGCCCAGCAAGGTCCATAACACTACCTCCAACCAGACTACACTGTGGACAAATATGATGTTGGATAGATGGATGGCAAGTCCCAGTGTGCTGGAATTCAGTATAATGTTTCTTTCAATCCATGCCATGTTTTAACATAGCACTAAAGAGAATAAGGGAAGATTATAACCCCTGTTAAGTCTTTTTTTTTTCAATCTATGTCCTGTTGGGTAGATTTCCGTTTACTTCCTGCCCCATAACCAAAACCGAAAATGCAAGGTAATCCCTCCAAAGTGAGGGAATCCCTCCAAATGCAAGGTAATTCCTCCAAAGTGAGGGAATACCTGGTTGACATCAGGGTCACCAGAACTAGTGTTCTCATTGGAAGATTTCCCCTCTATTACTTTTCTGGGGACAACCCAAACTTTTTCTTTTACTTTCACTTGCAATGAAAATGGTAACATGACAAATAGAGTGAATCTGCCTAACTGAGGGCACAGACTGCAATAAAAAGCTGACAGGTGGTCTAATCCCTCTCCACTCAGTCCTTTAACTTTAACTTCACTAGACTAGAGTGTTGCATGGTAAAAAAAAACCTCAGCTGTGACCCTAATGAGAGTACTAGAGCCACCATACCCTCTTCTACTGAATCCAAGGAATGGTAAACACTGGAAATGACACTACGGGCCTGGTAACAACTAGGATTACAGTACCCAACTGGAAGAGGTGTTCCCTACCTCCATGCTCTTGATTGCCCATAGTAAAACCAAAGTGGTGAAAGGCACCCTGTAAGCAAGGCCATCTCTAACAATCATGTTGGCCTAGGCTCACCTACATGATGATGCCATTTCCACCCCTTATGTCATGTGATTATTTTAGTAAACATGCTCCTAGAATGATCCACTGGGGGCAGCATAGCATTTTCTTTATATGCTGAACTACTTTTCAATACTACCAAACATTAAGCAAGAGAAAGGAGAGATGGAAGTTTCCTGAGCAATAAAGAGCCTTCTGACTGCTCTCAACATCCCCTGTCACCCTTCCCTTGCAGCTTCATGTTGAGCGTAGCCACAATTCTCTGCAAAGAGACAGAAGACGGAAACAAATGTAGGAGAAAATTGTTACTTTTGAGTTTTTGTACAGCCTACATTAACCCTACCGCCCTAGGCCTACTAGTGCCATTATTGTAAATACAGCCCTGCCCATAAGAGGTCGGTACATTTTTTTTTTTTTGTACAGGGAGGTACATTATAGTATCTTAAAGTTTTTACCAATTTTATATTCCATAGGTATGTTTTAAAAACAAACACACTGGTGAGGAACAGATCACTGGAATTATAGGGGAAAATGCTTTATTACAACATATATTCCTTGCCAACCTCAAGTATGAAGGAAAGTAAAGTATGTTTTATAAGCAATCCGATAGGTGTCAGCAAGGTCAAACTGACACAAAGAATTTACATCTGACTGGGAATAAAGGATGTTAAGTTGTTAGTGACACTCCATAATGGACACTGATTACAAGAGCAAACAGAAACTGGAGTTGGGGGAAAACAGAAATTAAAATCAAATCAAACAATCATTTTGAGGTTACAAAGTGAGTAGCATATTTCTGAGGTTGGAGTGGACACGCTTTGTCCCGGTTGGTGGAAATCTGCCATGGCTGCAATCTGAGTGACCACAGCATGTTATTTTATAGACGTTCCTCTGAAATGTCAGTGATATTTCCCTGTTTATACTCTTTTACAGCTGTCAGAGTAAATTACCATTCACAGAGTTTTAAAGGTAATAAATACTCCTCAGTCTGATTAGGTTATGTGGTATATGGAAGAGAAAGACTATTAGGGAAAAAATGTAAAAGAAGAAATGCTTAGAAGAAGACTGTGTATCCTTAAAGAGTGAAAGAGTCAAACATTCAATGATTTGTGCAGAAAACCTCATTCACATGGGGTGTACACCCATGGAGGGCCATGTTTACCCACACAGGGATGCACAGGGATGCACAGGCATGTGGGTACATGTCCTTGAACGCACACTGTGAAATCGGGGACATGCACCCACACAGATGTCAAATTAGTAGCAGTGGCTGTGCCTGTGCAACTTCTGCTTCCCAATTTACATCAATAGAACTGCTTGCATAGGGATAGACAGAACACCCGTGCATCCCCATGCAGGTAAATACGACCCTCCAGGGGCATACGTGTTAGTACATTTCATGGAACAGGACCTAAGAATCATTAATAATGCTGGGGGATCAGTGAAGAGACATCTGAGCTTTGATAGCCATCCTTACCCATAAACTAACCATTATATCCATATAGCTCTCTATACTGGAACGCCCATAGAATACACATTTTGGTGTTTAATCTCTTGGCACCCACGTAATGCATATATGCTGGGGAAAAGAGGATAGGCTTTAACTCTTACATGCCACATCTATGAGTCCAAGAACAGCCAAGGTTTCTGTGTTGCATGTTCCTAGCATAGTGAGTGAGCTGACTTACACAGCTCTCAGCCTCCAGTTATGATCAGATGCCAGTGGGGGGTGTACTCCCAATCATGTGACCATTGTGCCAGCCAATCATAGTGGTCACATGACTGGAAAGTCCGTCCTGTATCCTGGGCATAAAAACCCATTTATAGGGACATGGGGCTGGGCAGTAGATCTAAAGTCAACATTTTTTGTTTTATTTTGGATGTCGTAGGGAAGGGTTGGAGCCCCTGTCAGGTCTGTGTTGCTGTCTTTGTCCCCACTAGGAAAATGCACACTCTCTATCTGTTCCGGTGACCATAGTCACTGGCATAGAAAATGATGGGAAATACAGTTTACAGTCGTTACAGGAACAGAAGGTGAAAAAC